GGTACAGATGCTACGGTGGATACAACCTCTCCTCTGAGTGGTCGGCCCCCAGTGACCCCCTGGACATCCTGGTGGCAGGTGAGGAGCCAGTGGGTCAGTCAGGGACCCTGACTCTGCACAGGCCTGCGGGGGGTCTCAAGTGGTGAGACCAGAATGACAGTGCAGGCCCCAGGGAGGGAGGGAGACAGAGAACTGCATGAGGTAGGAGGGGAGAGGGGGAGAAACAGAGAGAGACAGGGGGTGGGAGGGGAGAGGGGGAAACTCAGAGAAACAGAGACAAAGAGGAGGGTCCTCAGAGAGAGGCCTGGTGACTCTCAGGTCAGAACAAGGTGGGCAGGCAGCCCTCACCCTCCCTCCCTCTCTCTAGGACACCTGCCTGACAGACCCTCCCTCTCGGTGCAGCCAGGCCCCAGGGTGGCCTCAGGAGAGAATGTGACCTTGAGGTGTCAGTCACAGAGCCCGAGGGACACGTTCCTTCTGTCCAAGGAGGGGGCATCCGATCCCCCCCTGCTTCTGAGATCAGAGCACCGAGCTCAGCAGTTCCAGGTGGAGTTCTCCATGAGTCCTGTGACCTCAGCCCACGGGGGCAACTACAGGTGCTACAGCTCACATAGCTCCTCCCCCTTCCTGCTGTCACTCCCCAGTGAGCCCCTGGAGCTCCTGGTCTCAGGTGAGGGCCCATGATCCTGTTTACTGAACTGTCAGCTCAGAGTTTTGTTCCCAGAACAATTCTGTATTGAAAGGGGAGTGAGGGGCTGTCGAAGCAGCCACCCAGATATCTTCCTGTTAGAGGCTCTGCTCCCCCTGCTCAGCCCGCCCCCTCACCTGCAACCGGAAGGTGCCAAGTGGGAAGATGGAGGTCTGAGGGCCCACAGGGCAGATGCAGGGGGTTCTGAGTGAGGTGGGGCCTCCAGGGTTGGCTCCAGACTATCACTCCTTGTGTCCTCCTTCCCAGGGCCCTCTGTACCCCAGCCCCCACCCACAGGACCCATTTCCAATACTGATGAACCACAGAGTCCTCATTGCTCAGTGGGAGCTCAGACCACTTCTGAGCCTCTGAGGACCTAATGCTTCCAGACACTTGAGAGCAGGCTGCTGTCTCGCGGGGAGGGGGCATGGTGGAGGGTGGGAGCTTGCAGACCTGGAGAGTTTTTAGGGAAACCATGGGGATCCAGGGGCTCTGATAATTCACTCCCCCTCCACTCGTGGAGTCAGGTCTAAGATGGGGAAGTGAGGCAGGGGACAGGTGGGGTGGTCATGGCAGAGGGAGATGTTGGGGCCCAGGCTGGTGGAGGAGGAGCCGGGCTCAAGTAGGGAGAAGGCAGCCCTGTCCCTCACCCGCCCCTGACCTTGGCTCATGGTGAAGGGGGGATTCTCTGGCAGAGGGGGTCTCAGTGCTCCCTGAGGTTATGCATTTGGTCTAGTTTATAGCCCCAGAGCTCCTGGTCCCAGGTAAGCAGCCCTGTCCTGTCCTCTCTGAGCTCCAAAGTCATCTTTGTCTCTGTCGCCAGCAAAGTTAGAAACATGATGGAAGTAGTGAGAGCACTGGGTGGTTCCACAGAGGAGGGTCGTCTCCTGAAAGGGTGGACACAGGCGGGACCTCCCTCCCCTGGGACCGCCCATTTCTGCAGTCTCAGACAGGCCTGAGGGAGGGGGGAGGTGGCACTACTTGGGGTGATGCTAAGAGGAAGTGAGATTAGACTGAAGTGTCCAGACAGAGGCCCCACCCCCTGACTTCTGGTGGCTCCACCTCAGACCAGAGCATCTCTGTTCCCAGGGGGGCATCCCACAAGCGGGACCATAGAAAATGGGGCTCAGTGTGTGTGGACTCAGCTCTCCTGGGAGGTGAACTCTGAGAACCTTTCCCTCTGAACAAAGGGGCTGCCTGCCAGGACTTGCAGGGGCGCTTTCATGTCTGACTTCGTGAGGCACCTGACACCTGGCTTGTCCTAGACCTGCTCTGGGTGCAGCCTCTCTGGGCCTGTCCTGCTGCTCCCAGTCACTGTGACCTTGTAGGGATTGAAAAGCTGAGGGAGACAGGGGGCAGGTCCACTGATTACCCACCAGGCCTGGGGGCTCAGCTTAGCAAGAGGAGCCACCATGTTATGGAGACACCAAAGATTTGGAAATTCCCACTGAGCATCTCAGCTCCTCCTGGTTCCACACAGAATCTGTGGGGTTTTCCACTAAAAGCCAGCAGCCCTGCAGAGTTCGCCCGGCGCCTGGGTCCCTAAGCAGATGGAGAGTGTGTGGAGTGGACAATGGAGAGGGTGCCTATTTGGCAGCCTTTGGTGCCCAGGCCTGGCTTGTAGCACAGGGATGATGGCTGGGCTGATGGGGAGGAGAGGCCTGGAGAGTTGGAGAGAGGACAGGGGACACTTCCTCGGCTGCTCATTTCCAGAGCCCCTTGGATGGAAGCCCTCACCACACAGGTGGGGGCCCTGAGCTTCTCAGAGCAGGACAGGTGGCTGCTCTGGTCAAGGTGGGACCTGCTGTGTATGAAAATGCTGTCCCCACTGGACACTGCTGTAGTGAGAAGTGTTCCCCCCTGTGGGAACCACTCTGCAAGGCCCTGTGCTCACATGGAGGCCTCCAGGCCCTCAGTGCTCACCTGAGAATAAGGAGGGACCATGCAGGTCTCATGGGGACCTGGGGCCTCCTGCCCAGACTCTGTGCATTCACCTCTACTCAGTATTACAGGCAATACTCCAGTATATAAACTCACAATTCAACTTTCAATATATTGGGTCCAGATTGAAATATAAATATTCTATTCCTCTTTTCATTGGGAGCAGATTAATACCAGACATTTGTCAGGGAGAACAACTTCTTGTTTATATAAAGCCTTCTTACCATATACATTTTCAAATGAGGTTTATGCATGAACTTCAGAAGTATTTTGACAGCTATTTGTGAAACTGAGTCAATGCAAAGCCCACATAGAAAATTACATAACTAATATTGTACTTTGTGAGTCAGCTATTTGATTCCTGTGCATTTTCTAAATGGTAGTAAGTGCACATAGGAAAGCTCTTGGTTTGGGCATATTTATTTCATGACTGTTAGCCTCCTAAAGACTCTCTCCCTGTGGACTGTTTTTCAGTTGATCCCCCCAACATGCTGTGAAAATTATAATAGCCACCAGGATAAGGAAATGTCACTTTTTTATTCCCGATGGAATACCTATTTTTCTCACTCCATGTCCCGTAGGATGGAATGATGGGGTAAAATGTGCCACAGCATCTCCTCCGGTAAACAGCTTAATTCACACCCAAAGTTATGCCAAGGCAAACCCATTTACAAATTTGCATTTTATATTGAAAGCACTATTGGCCACTTTGTTCCAATCTGTTCTTCTGTTTCATTAGGGTTTACTAGGAAGGCTCTCTTTTTCCTGACAGATGCACATCCCCCCATAATGATCTCTTCTCTGACTTTTCACCACATGACACACATTACAAAGGCTTCTTGGTGTCAACCTTCAGGATATTAACTCGACTGAGTGACGTGGATCATCCATGCGCATCTTCTGAATTGTGGAGTTGACATTTAGAGTTTTTGCTTGGGTCACTGTATGAGTAGAGGTCCACTATTTCTGTTTATTCACGGGATTTATATCAAAATGGGGCAACAGATTGACTGAATTTCCTACTTTTGGGGCCCACTAAATATTGAAATTAGGGGGAATTACTCAGTGGCTTAACCTTTGAACCAGAACTGAGGACTTTCTTGGTTTTGAACTTTGTTGTCCTTTGAAATAGAATAATCACAAGATTAGCATCCACATACCCATATTTTTCATCTGCAAAATGTATCTACCAATGTAGGTACTAGTTACTGTAAAATAAAGTGAGTTAATGAAAGAATCAATAGATAAAAAACTTCAAGTGACAATGGACATAGCAGACCCATGAGAGGGGGGGCCTGAGTGGGGTGGGGTGAAGGAGACCCAGGACAGACTCTCACCCCTTCATGTTCCTGAGATTCAGGAGCCCCTGACACCAACCCCTCCTCCATGGACCATGGGTCCCCAGCTGTTGAGAAGGTGGGATCTCTCAGCTGTAGGGGAATAAGCTTATGGGGTCTTGATCCACAGACTGAACACAGAACTCACAGCTCTTAGTTATTTCTGAATTGAGGCCATTTCTTACTCATCCTCAGTTCTTGGGCACAGCTAACTCTGATCAAGGTGACTCAGAGCAGGTATTGAGTTCAGCCATCAGAGGGACACTGATGTCAAGGGGAGGTGGGAGCCCAGGTCGAACATCAAAATCCTAGAGATTTGTGTCTGCCCTGACCTCTGAGACTTCTTTACCCACAATTCTTATTTTCCCATCCCCAAGACTACACAGTGGAGAATCTCATCCGGATGGGCGTGGCTGGCTTGATCCTGGTGGTGCTCGGGGTGCTGCTATTTGAGGCTCGAAACAACCCCATAAGGACCCTCGATGCAGCCAACATGTAAACACAGAGGGAACAACGCATTGCGGGAGCCTTGGAGCCCATCTGAGGATCCCAGGAGGTGCCGAAGGAAAGTGGGGACCATAGTTGCGGAATCTCTGTTGAGAATGTCCAGGGAAGTAGAGGTGGGAGGTGAGGTTTGGGTGCAGGAGAACATGAGCCCTTCCCTATAGAGGATGCCTCCTCCATCCAACTGGGTGCTTTCCCTCCCTGTCCTCGCTGACTCTCTTCCACTGCCCTTCTGTTCTCACCCTGTGATGTGAGGGTCCATCCCATATGGCTGGTTTGGATTCACATCTATACACCTTCATGCTGCATCACATCCATCCCAACAAAATCAGGTATCTTCACAACCCTGGGATTAGTTTAAGTCATAAAGAACAAAGGACAGGCACCTGGTACATAGTTGGAAAACATCATAATAATGCAGCTCAGGGACAGAATCCAGACACAAAAGGGAATCAGGTTTTGTGTGATTCCCTTTATTTGAAATGTCCAGGAGAAGGAAACCCATAGAAACAGAAATCAGATTGGTTTGTCTGGGGTTGACCAGGAGGACAGATGGGAGATGGACTGTTTGTTGTTGTTTTTGTTTGTTTCTTTGTGTTTTTTTTTTTGGGGGGGGGAGTTTAAAACTTTCTTGAAACAAGATAGACGTTGTCATTGAAACATTGTGTATTTACTGCATTCTAGTGAATGTCATATTTTAATTGCATGTTATGTGAATGTTGCTTCAATAAAAATAAATGTAAGTGAAACACGCGTGGTTCCCTACAGCTGCCTTATACCTTGGAGGTTGCCCCACTTGTGTCCGTGGAGTTTTATGGAAGCAGGACTCCCACCAGGTCAGAATTGCCCTAAGTGCTTTAGTGCTTAGGGATCAACCTACTGATGAAATTTCCACCTTCACTCCTGAATCGGGCTGAGTCTAGGATCCCGGCTGAGGCCCACCATCTCTGCATCCTTTTGTCTGCACTCATCTGCCATTCAACCAAGGATGCGCTACAGCTTCGGATTCAACTTGTAGGCTTGGGGGACACACATGTGACTTCCAAACAGCCCTTCCCACCACACGTCTCTCATACACATGCCTTCATCAGGTCAGAAAATGACACCAGATTTCCGGCCAACATGGCTCAGTGGTTGAGCATTGACATATGAGCCAGGAAGTCATGGTTCTATTCTTCGTCAGAGCACATGCCTGGGTTGTGGGTTCCATCCTCAATGTGGGGCTTGCAGGAGGCACCCGATCAATGATTCTCTCTCATCATTGATGTTTCTATCTCTCTCTCCCTCTCCCTTCCTTTCTGAAATCAATAAAAAAATATAGTTTTTTTGACACAAGATTGGGGCCCTTCATGTCTCAGACACTGCTGATCCTCATAACAACCTCAGAGGTGAGGTTTCACAATTTTGCCCAACAGGTGAAGAGGGAGAGGAGAAGAGACTGGCTCAAAATAGAAGTTCAATAAACGTGTCCCCAGGTCTTAGATTACAACCTGGGATTGGCCTCCAAAGTGCTCTTCTACCCAAAGCATGGAGATGGAATAAACACCATTAGACAAAGAGGTACTGTCTGGGGGACGAGGTGGTGAGGAGGTAGAAAGGACTCTGAAGGTTTGATGGAGAGGGATGGAGAGCAGGAGCTCTGCTCACAGAGACAAGAAAGTCAGAGAGAGGAAGTGATAGGGAGAATCAGCAGCACACGCCCAGGCCTTGAAGGCAGTGCTGGTTGCCTCTGTGGGTGAGTTGACAGTTTTGTAACATCCCCCAGGCCTCCTACTCCTCTTGGGGTCAGCAAACTTGGATACAGCCCCATTGGCTCTTGCAGGCAGCCAAGGCTGAGAGAAGATGAGCCCTCTCTTCCCCTCACACACTGAACCAATCCCACTCTTCTGGATCCCGGTTCTCCTTCCTGTGACCCAGTTCTCCCCACAGACAAGCTCAGGTGAAGACTCAGGACAGCTTGTTTGTGTGACCGCATCAGCCTCCTGGCCTCCTCTAGACCCTCTTTCTCTGCTCATGTGTTTCATTCTCATGGCCCCAAATATACCTGTCACCGACCATCCCCTGCACAAAGCCTGTCCACGGGTCCCCCCTGACTCCAGCCACATCCAGGGATCTCCACCCGGCAGTCCATGCTACTGATGATCAGGCTGAGCTACACTTTCCAGTCCCAGTGAGGCCAAGGCTTCCTCCAACCAAACTCACCCCAGTGAACCTGCTCCCCTCCCCCGACACACAACCCGGGTTAGGGTTGTATAGTTTTGAATGTACGATTCTATAGTACCACATCTATATATTTTTATGGAATACCATGTTACTTACTTTTTATCACCACATGACCAGATGCGCATAGTTGACTCTTCTCTTCAGTTCACAGGACTTCACTCTCCAAACCTTCTAGACAGAAACAACATACATTTATTTACAAAATGTATTCCCTGCATTTTGGAAATAAAGCAACAGACTTGGCAATAATCAATGTGTGAACCAAAACAGAAGTGAATGTTTTAGATTAAATGATAATGTAACTATTACACATCAAACCTATGAAATAAAAAACCATGTGTGCTTGTGTGTGTGTATGTGAGCGTATGTGTGAGTGTGTGTGTGAATATGCCTGTTTGTGTGTGTGTGTGTATGAGTGTGTGAGTGTGTGTGTGTGTTCATGGGCAGCTATACCCACCTGTTTGAGGAAAGCAGAGGTGAGAGCTGAGGTGGGAGGGTCACATCTGGATGATCATGAACAGCCTTGAGTTCAGAAGGAAGAACCTGGATTCACCCTGAAGACAGCGAGGACCATGGAAGGGTTTAGGCATAAACAGCTTCTGAAAGGGAGTTGCAAGGGCAGATGAGGAGGGTGAACTGGAGAAGGGAGTGAGGGTGTGAAGCTCAGAGCCCAGGAAGGAGGTGGACCCAATGGCTGCCTTGAGGGGTAGTGTTAAATGGGCTCACACCTCCTTCATGTCCTTCAGGCTGGGCTGTGAGAGGGACACAAAACGGAAAGCAATGCAGGATGGACAGCCATGTGGGATGGTGAGAACAGAAAGTCCTCTCTCTGACTTTCTTGTCTCTGTGAGCAGAGCCCTTGCTCTCCAGTCCTCTTCATCAAACCTTCAGAATCCTCTCTGTCTCCTCACTGCCTCTTGTCCCCCAGACTGTACCTCTTTGTCTAATGGTGTTTATTCCATCTCTATGCTTTGGGTAGAAGAGCATGTTGGAGACATATCCCAGGTTATATTCTAAGACTTGGGGACATGTTTATTGACCTTCTATTTGAGCCAGTCACTTCTCCCTCTGTGCCTCTGGACTGGAAAAACCAAGGGGCCCTCAGGACAGTGAGCTCAGGGGTGGAGGAGTGGGACTTGGGGGCTGTGCAAGATGCATCTGCTCCCACAGGGAAGCTCAGCGCCTTTTCCTGGCCCTGGGACGCAGGTTCTATGTGTCACACAGGTTCCACCTGACTTTCTGTCTCTGGGACCAGCGGGATCTCTCCATGTTCTGGGGGTCAATCATCTGAGTCATTTCTGCCACTTCAGAGCACCTTTGATGCCGGCTGTCACTCTCCTCTTCCAACTGTGGAGACTCATCAGGACTCAGACAAGAACAACATTCATGGGAGTCCTGTTCCAAAGCAGCAACACACACAGACACACATTAAATATCAATGTGGTGCTACCACATCCTGAATGGTTGAAGGACACCTGAGCAGGGCACTTCCTCCCTTGACTTCTCAGTAATACCAACACCTGCCCCACGAAGAAGGTGAGAATTCTTCTCGACTGAGATATGGAGGAAATGAAACCAGCCATTCAATGCAGATGGAGACAGTGGAGGTTTGAGCAATTGTAAAGAAGAGACGCCTCATCCAAAGGAGTAGAAGGAAGACTCCAGGTCAGACCCCATGTGTGGAGTCATCTGGATGATTCAGTGCGGAGGTCATGGTCTTTCTATCGCATGGTCCTGGGTCAGTGGGTGAGTCTCTAGGACACGGTGAACATCTTACCTGCCTCACAGCATTTGCAATAAGCAATGCAGGATGCGTGACAGATCTAAACAAGAAAAATAAATCAATTACTATTTCTTTTACGAAACTGTCTTATTAACTTGTGAGAATTTTTTCTTCAAGTGGACACACGAACACAAACTTAGGGGGAAATGGACACAGTGGAATCACTAAAATGAAGAACTTCTATCCTCATAGACACCAGCGAGACAGGGAAGAGGATAATTGCAATGGCAAAATGAGACCACGGACTGGCACTCAGATCACCTAAGAAATATTACAGATCCGTAATGTGGCAGCAAAGAACAATAGAAAAGCAACCAAACACCTTTATCAAGCAACTGATACTGACATGCAAACGTGCACTGACATTATGTAAAGGTGATGAGCTGGCCTTGGCTGGTGTTTCTCAGTGGTTAGAGCATCAGCCTGACCACTGAAGGATCACGGGTTTGCTTCCGGGTCAAGGGCATGTGCCTTGGTTACAGGTTTGCTGCTCAACCCTCATGTGGGATGCAACCAAGTGGTGTCTTTCTGACATTGATGTTTCTCTCTCTCTCTCTCTCTCTCTCTCTCTCTCTCTCTCTCTCTCTCTCTCTCTCTCTCCTTCCCTCTCTCCCTTCCATCATCTCTAAAAATCATTGGAAATAATACCATCAGGTGAGAAGTAACAAAATTTTTTAAAAAATAAAAGGTACTGAGCTTTATAAGTCATTGAAGAAATAAATGTGCAACCAAGCCAGCCATACAAGAAATGATAAAGGGACTGGTGTAAAAAGAAGAAATAAAAAGCTCAGAAAGAAAACAGCCACACACAAAAAAAGAAAATGGCTACAAACAAGTACCTTTCAATAATAACTTTAAACGTAAACGGACTAAATGCTCCAACCAAAAGACATCGAGTGGCTGAATGGATAAAAAAACATTGCCGAAACCGGTTTGGCTCAGTGGATAGAGCGTCGGCCTGCGGACTGAGGGGTCCCAGGTTCGATTCC